AGTTTCTACAAAAGCACTCATATGTCCCCGCATGTGAAAATATTAAGCGTGTACATGTGGAAACTTTCATGCATGTATTCGCTAATATAGTGTATCCTGTGACGCGTTCACACGCATGCTATGTCATAATGATTCATGCATGTACACGTACCTATAATATTGCGTTTACACGTGTTTTTTAGACTTTCGCGTTTGACTGGGAACGACTAGAACGAAGACCACAAATAAATCTCATAACTCTGACCGTTTTCATCTTTTTCCGAATATTTTCAATACTAGTGTAGTCAAAAAGGTTATTGGCATTTCCATTATTTTTACGATGATTCATGACATTCGATTAATCGCTCTCTAATGGTAGCAGCATTACTGCATTTCGATATCTGCATCTTTGACGACAATTTTCTTTCTGTTTCTATTTCATTACAAATCAATTTCAAGAAAAAAAATATATTTAACCTGATCAAATATAAATTATGAGAAAACTGAAACTACTCACTATCAACAATCTGTGTCATTGAAATATAGGTTCAATTCCCTACAAAGAGATTATCGTACTGCTGAGCAATGGTATGTGGATCTTCCGTGGGCATCTTACTTGATACACCCTGTTGTTGATAATTACAATAATGTAAAATTGCTTGTAGCCAGAATTCAGGGTGCACTAGCAAGCGGTAAATAGTGTTTTTATAATGATATTATCGAGAATTTTCTTGAAAACGACCGTCAACGATTTTTTTTGTGACGTGGAAACCTTTTGAGACATAAAGCAGAGGGATGCGACTACTTTCTCTCATTTAATTCTTTCTGTAATTGTGGAAGAACCGTTAAACATAGAAAACGCTTTTGTCGTAGCAGTAAATAAATATAACAACAGATTGAGTAGTATGAAGCAGTGATTGACCACATAAGTTGTTCATTCACATTTTCGTTGACTAAAAAAATATAAATGTGACCTTCACCTTCAACACGGCCTCTGCTTCAGACAAAGTTATACTGTTACTTATCATTGATATTACTGAACGTCCCTTTAACATAATTGATCGAATTCAATATATCATCTATGTCAGCATATTTAGAAAAGAAAACTTTTATGTGCTAGTATAGACTTCGTAGTGAATAAGTTGTCTTTGATGAAACCATTAGAAGGTGTATGGTTTATTGAATAGCCTCGTGATTT